CAGAATCAAGTTATTTAGCTCTTGGACCCCGCCATTCTAACCAATCTATTTTTCCTCTGTTATGTCTACTACATATATTTCTCTCTATCACACGCACACACATCCCCCAGGAAGCAGCCCGTAACAGCTGTCTAACTCCCAGGTACCTATTTACTGCTAGGTGAACAGGAGCATCAGTGTGCAAAAAACTCTGCCCATTTGCAGACGAGGAGTCACAATAACGTGGCTGAAATATGTTGATCAAACCACACAAACTTCCGCCCATTTGTTTCCACCTCAGCCGGGGATCGAACCCGGGCCCTAAGGACTACGACCCCAGAGCGCTATCCACTCAGCCGCGAGGCCCCGATTGTGTGTGTGTGTGTTTACTAGTTGTGTTTACTAGTTGTTTTTTTTGCGGGGGTTGAGCTTTGCTCTTTCGGCCCGCCTCTCTACTGTCAATCAACTGTTTACTAACTACTTTTTTTTTTTTTTTTTTTTTTTTTTTTTTTTTTTTTCCCACACCACACACACACACACACACCCCAGGAAGCAGCCCGTTACAGCTGACTAACTCCCAGGTACCTATTTACTGCTAGGTAACAGGGGCACTTAGGGTGAAAGAAACTTTGCCCATTTGTTTCTGCCTCGTGCGGGAATCGAACCCGCGCCACAGAATTACGAGTCCTGCGCGCTATCCACCAGGCTACGAGGCCCCTCCACCAGGCTACGAGGCCCCTATTACGAGCCTATTGGGCTCTATCGTATCTACACTTGAAACTGTGTATGGAGTCAGCCTCCACCACGTCACTTCCTAATGCATTCTATTTGTCTACCACTCTGACACTAAAAAAGTTCTTTCTATTATGTTATGCGGTAATTGGTTCCACTAATCAACAACCCTGTTACCGAACAGAAGCCATAAGATATCGAGCAAACAACTCGGTCCTGCAGGCACAGATGACTGACGAAGATTAAGCCACCCATGAGGTGGCATGGGCATGAATAGCCCGTAACCCAGGCACTGATGATTGATGAATACACCCCCATCAACACACTTCCACGGGAGACATCTCCCGTCACGCAGGGTGCAGTCGCACCTCCACAGATCTCCAGTATCTGCTCTTGATACTGGTAATGGCTCAAAAGGGCCACCACTTACGGGCTATTCATGCCCGTGCCACCTTTTGGGTGGCTTAATCTTCATCAATCAATCAATCGACACACTTCCGGCAGTCTGGAGTGCGAGACGCAGGCGCGTGCCGCAAGCGGACTTGACGTCACCACCAACGACTTAATCACATGTTACCATTTTGCCTCAAGACGCTGCAAAGGTTTCCTCCCACACCCTTGTGGTTAGTGCTGTGGGCGTCCCCATGGTTACCACACCATTAACCCGCCGGTGTTGCTGCTGTTGTTGTGGCAACACTGTGAGAGGCCGCCCTGAAACCCCCCTCTTCCCCCCCCCACACACACATACCAGATGATTGACAGTTGAGAGGCGGGACCAAAGAACCAGAGCTCAACCCCCGCAAGCACAACTAGGTGAGTACACAAACATGGGGTCCAAGAGTTAATGCACGATAACACAGGCACAAATAGGCGAGTACACACGTTGCACATGAGAAGATTCCGGAGGTCTTTACATTAGAGCAAGAATTTTATTATCAATAGAAGGCACCAAACCGGGAAACATTAGAGCAAGATCAGGTACCAGAGCTGAGGGGTACTGAACCAAGCCCAGCAAAACTAGGACCCGCTGAGATACCCCAGAAACGAGGTAAACAAGTACTTGATACAGCTGGGTACGACTGAGGTATGGGACCAGAAATCACCGTGGGTACTAAGAGAAGGAGCGGAAGCCTTGCGCTGTCCCGTTACCTGTAATATAACATCAATGGAAAGAGGGGGAACTGCCAGAGATTTGGAAGACAGCCAATGTTGGAACAATATACAGGCAACAAGCCACAATACCTTGGTTGAAAATTAGACCCCAAACTAAAAAAAATCTGAACATAAAGGAAAAACGACGTCCATCCTGGACTATTATGACCCTAGTGACAATATAACAAAACTGAATCAGACAGAAACCATTCCGTCTACGGGCCAGTGGCACTGACTTGTACATCATGGTAGGTAACGAGAAAAACAACAATAAATAACCAGAACATTTGAAGAGAAGAGCATGCATAGCACAACACCAGCACGGGTTCACGGATGGTAAATCCTGCCTCACAAACTTCATTTAGTTCTCTGTACAGACCACTATTAGACAAGATAGAGAAGGTGGAAAGCCTTCGATAAAGTACACAACAGGACACTAGAGAACAAAATGGAGAAACAAGCGGGAGTGAGTGATGGTATTCAAGGGAATAAAGGAGTAACTATGGGGTTGAAGACAGAACCAAATTAAGAGACACCTACAGAGGGGATAGTTTTGCAGGCTATGAGTCACAATAACGTGGTTAAAGTAAGTTGACCAGATCACACTAGAAGGTGAAGGAACGACGACGTTTCGGTCCAGGACGGACCGAAACGTCGTCGTCCCTTCATCTTCTAGTGTGTGGTCTGGGATAGTTTTCTTACTCTAAAATGTTCGATGGTAATGAAAAAACTTAAACTAAATATGACCGAAGACCGATAAACTACTGGATGACCTAAACCAAATGAAAGAATTGCCGTAAGTGGCTACTTGAGTGTAACTCAATCAAGTGCAAAGTAATGAAGCTGGGTGCTGGTAAAGATGAGACTCACTGTTCACAGTAAACAGTGCCCCGGAAGCTGGCACCGTTGCTCGTACATGTACAGTGAAAAGATGCTCAATGGTTCGTCTTCTTGCTTAGTTCATCTCCAGCTGGTCTTACTGTCTTGCCTACTTGACGTTACTATTACACTGAATAACTTGACTCTGTCGGACGTGATCCTGTTGGACGTGATGCTGTCGGACGTGACTCCATAGTGTTTGAGCCACTTCTAGCTTTGATTGCTTGATTTGACTGCCTCCAAAACAAACATTTTCTAACTTCTTTCTTCACATTTTACCGATAATTCTCATAAATATTTCTTAGAAAACTTTTATCCCCTACGAAAAGAAATGATTTCTAGTGTACACCTTCTTCCCTCTCTCCCTCCCTCCTTCCTTCCCCCTCACTAGGGATTTCCCTCCCCTCAGGGGCACCCCTCACCAGACGTCTCCTGGACACCTGCCGGGTAGGAACAGCTGGACTTCTCACCTGGAGGTAATTGTCCGTCTCCTTGCCGGCGGCAAATGTTGAAACGACGAACCGGAAGATGTCTTAGAGGAGGTATTACAAGGATGTCCTGTGGGTGGTGGGGGTGGGGCTGGTGGGGGTGGGGCTGGTGGGGGTGGTGGTGGTGGGGGTGGGGGTGGTGGGGGTAGTGCTAGGGGAGGTGGGGGTGGTGGGGGTAGTGCTAGGGAAGGTGGGGGTGGTGGGGGTGGGGATGGGGGTGGGGTGGTGGGGGTAGTGCTAGGGGAGGTGGGGGTGGTGGGGGCAGTGCTAGGGGTGGTGGGGATTGGGGAAGGGGAAGAGGCCGCCCTCTCAAGCGTCCACAACGTCACTAAACTGAAGTAATAAATTGATTGGACCTAACCTAACCAAACCGAGGACCCCTACGGATAGAAAACGGGTCATCACGTCAATTTTTACGAGCCCCTTTGATTAATAGCAGGTCAGTTTATTTTGTCCTTAGGGGTTTGTATACGTCAAAATGTGATGTAGTAGTAATAAAGAGAATGGGTCGTTAGTGGGGGGTGGAAGTGGAGAACCTCAAGGTCATTCTTGTAACTTAACAAGATTTACTTGCGGGCTCTCTCTCTCTCTCTCTAGTGGCTTCGACGGAAACAGGAAGCCGGCGGCTTGCCTCACCCCACGTTACAGTACACCTGTCACCAGTAGCCACACCTCACATACATCAACCACTCACCCACTGCCTCTCTCCAATTCCTCACCACTTGTCAAGTGGTGAGGAATACAAGAAAACTTCAGTAACTCATTCTGTAGTAAATCAATACATTGCTATATTAATGATATAAATGCCTCTATACACTAAGAGTTATTCACTTAGAAATTTAATAAAAAATATTTTTAAAGTGAAATTTTTTACATAAATTCGGAACTTTTTTCAACAATGTCAGTCCATGTTGGTGCGGGTGGTTGTGAAACTGAAACTAATTCCTCCAGTGGTCATGTCTGTCTCCCTCGCTCTTCCTCTTTATCACCACCTCGCAATTCCACCCTTCCTTTACCTGAAATTCCATCCTCAATTTTTCTTTCTCTTGACGCTCTTTCTCGTTTACTTGTCTAGTTACATTCCGTTATCTTCTTTCCCTCTCTCCCTATTTCATCCCTCATCCCCCCCCCCGTTCCTCACCTTTCCTCAAATCTATATAATCTCTCATCCATTCCTTTTGTATCCACTCCTCTTCCACCTGTTATGTCTCACTCGTCAGCCAGGGATCAATACACTTCCCTCCCCCTCCCTTGCTAGTTACATGATTACGATGTTTTTAGGATCAGAACCTACAAAAGCCGGACGAGAGGTAACCGAGTCCTTCTGTCCGGTACACTGATAGTTCTCGAAAACCTCTTTGTCGCCCGACACTGTCGACGCCCACGAAAGGTTTCAGAGTCTATACTGCAGGAGGACAGACAAATGCACAAGTTATACCTTGAATACGATGCATTATATTATGGTTATAGGTCATTTTTTTCCGAGTTTCTGGTGTTCATAATAGAGTCGAGTGACACTTATTCCCCCTTAAGAGAAGTTGAAATGTGGGAGAAACAAACCTGTTTTGTATTATTTTTGGAGGAGGATTTGTAAGTGGAGCCAAGGCGGTACAGGAGAGTCCGACACGGACGACGGAGACACCATTGTCGCGCGAGGCTCCCTGCGTCACCCAGGCGACGTCGCGCGACTTGCGCCCTTGGGTAGGAGGGTGTGAGGGGTCGTGTTGGCCGGGACACCGGGTCAGGTGTTTGTAAATCTCGGCTGACTATTTAGTTACGGAAAGAGAACACCGGATGAAGCGCGGCTCCAGACTGGGGTGTCCCGCTGGTCCCGTTGTTGCTTGTTCTCTCGTTATTGTCGCCGTTACCGGCGTTATTGTCACCGTTACCGGCGTTATTGTCGCCGTTACCGGCGTTATTGTCGCCGTTACCGGCGTTATTGTCGCCGTTACCGGCGTTATTGTCGCCGTTACCGGCGTTATTGTCGCCGTTACCGGCGTTATTGTCCCCGTTACCGGCGTTATTGTCCCCGTTACCGGCGTTATTGTCCCCGTTACCGGCGTTATTGTCCCCGTTACCGGCGTTATTGTCGCCGTTACCGGCGTTATTGTCGCCGTTACCAGCGTTATTGTCGCCGTTACCAGCGTTATTGTCGCCGTTACCAGCGTTATTGTCGCCGTTACCAGCGTTATTGTCGCCGTTACCAGCGTTATTGTCACCGTTACCAGCGTTATTGTCGCCGTTACCACAAGCGTTATTGTCTCCGTTACCAGCGTTATTGTCGCCGTTACCAGCGTTATTGTCTCCGTTACCGGCGTTATTGTCGCCGTTACCGGCGTTATTGTCGCCGTTACCAGCGTTATTGTCGCCGTTACCGGCGTTATTGTCACCGTTACCGGCGTTATTGTCGCCGTTATCAGCGTTATTGTCGCCGTTACCGGCGTTATTGTCGCCGTTACCGGCGTTATTGTCGCCGTTACCAGCGTTATTGTCGCCGTTACCAGCGTTATTGTCGCCGTTACCAGCGTTATTGTCGCCGTTACCAGCGTTATTGTCGCCGTTACCAGCGTTATTGTCGCCGTTACCACAAGCGTTATTGTCGCCGTTACCACAAGCGTTATTGTCCCCGTTACCAGCGTTATTGTCTCCGTTACAAGCGTTATGGTCGCCGTTACCAGCGTTATTGTCGCCGTTACCACAAGCGTTATTGTCTCCGTTACCAGCGTTATTGTCGCCATCGTCACCACCAACGTCATCAACGACGTCGTTACCAACACCGCAACCAGGGCCCCTCTGCATGGAGAGGAGAGACGTCGTGACGCACCACCAACGCAGGTTCAAGGACGGTAAATCTTGTCTCACAGGTTTAAGGGCGGGCAGACTGCCTTTTCCTGGACTGTCCGAAAGCCTTTGACAAAGTACCCCATAAGAGGCTGATGCTCAAGATGGAGGGAATAGGCAAGAGGAACTGGTAGGGTGCTCCAGTAGGTAAGGGAGGCTTAAGAAGCCACCTCCGCGGGGTAAGATGCTTGACATCGCCAGTACCAAGACGGGACCAGTTTCAAGTAATGGTGATTATGCAGTGTGGAGTTGCTGGTGTAGGTGGCAGTGAGGCGGAGAAAGAGACGGACGGAGGATCGAACTCGGACGGAACAATGGGCGGAATGTCAGAGATAAAAAAAGACGATTGACAGGAGGTGGTCGGTGTAAAAAAACAGACAGGGAGGCGGTCGGGCACGCAAGCATGCACGCGCGCGCACACTCACACTCACACACACACACACCAAATGGAATGCATTAGACAGTGATGTGGTGGAGGCTGACTCCATAGACAGCTTCAAATGTAGATATGATAGAACCCAGTGGGCTCAGGAATCTGTACACCCGTTGAGGGACAGTTAAGAGACGGGACAAAAGAGCCGAAGCTCAACCCCTGCAAGCACCACTAGGTGAGTACACATGCAACATACGACCCAAGACGGAGAATAAAATTAAAACACCGAGACCAGCGGGAGGAGAAGGTAATCTAACGGGTCTCTGCTGAGAGAGAGAGAGAGAGAGAGAGAGAGAGAGAGAGAGAGAGAGAGAGAGAGAGAGAGAGAGAGAGAGAGAGAGAGAGAGAGAGAGAGACAGAGAGACAGAGAGAGAGAGAGAGAGAGAGAGAGAGAGAGAGAGAGAGAGAGAGAGAGAGAGAGAGAGAGAGAGAGAGAGAGAGAGAGAGAGAGAGAGAGAGAATTATCGTTATGGACAACCTCGTAATACTTGGGATCCCGTAACCAATTTAGTAAATAAAAACAAGTATTGCCACAATCGAGGTAAGAGGCACATATCTAGCACACCTGCGAACACACCTGCCCCCCCACACACCTCCAGTCAACACATCCTGTGTATATCCACATACACACCCAGTGTCCCCACCCTTCCAAAATACTTCCCTCCGGAACATCAATCCAAGAATGGGTGCCAAAGTTACTAAACACCTTCAGGAAATAAACACGAACGCAGAGGCAAAGGTTCCTACCTTTGCCAGCGAGCGTTCGTTACCTATCTGCTTCTAGGAACACCTGTATAACAGAATAATAGTTGGCTTCTATGCAAGGCAAAAAATAGCCATGACTATTCGTAGAGGCAAAATGTACAGCCAAGAAAGGAAGGCAAGAGAACGAAACGAATGATAATCGGGGAGGAAAAGGACGACGAAAAGGAGGCGGAGAAGGAAGGAGACCTCGGAGGATGGATACCATCCTTCTTGGCCTCACCTGTCAAGATGCTTCGAGTCTGGCGAGCTTAACGGAAGGAGGAGGAGACGTTTTTACACGTGCAGGTGTCAGGGGGGGGGGCTTTTCCGGGAACTTTTTGTGTCGCCAGGTGGCGCCAGCCTCGTCTGCTGCGGTTCCCACATCGTGTAAGTGTCCGAGCGTGGGATTCGTACAGGTGTCGAAGTGCGGGCCTCGTACAGGTGTCGAAGCGCGGGCCTCGTACAGGTGTCGAAGCGCGGGCCTCGTACAGGTGTCGAAGCGCGGGCCTCGTACAGGTGTCGAAGCGCGGGCCTCGTACAGGTGTCGAAGCGCGGGCCTCGTACAGGTGTCGAAGCGCGGGCCTCGTACAGGTGTCGAAGCGCGGGCCTCGTACAGGTGTCGAAGCGCGGGCCTCGTACAGGTGTCGAAGCGCGGGCCTCGTACAAGCGTGTGTCCGTATCCTTTCCTAACGATACAAAAATCAGCATAAAAATACCTTCTGTAAAAGACACTGAAAAACTATAAGCCGATATCAGTGATGTCATCGATCATTCAACAGAAAATACCATTTTTAACAGTGATAAACCCCAAGTATTTAGGTACGATAGAAATGAAGATCTTAAACGAAATACACAGCACAAAACACGATCAAATACACTCACAGAAGGATAACAACGAGTAAAGGATCTGGGAATAAGGATATCACAGCTGACCTAAACTTTAATCAACATAACACAGCAAATATAGCATCAGCCAGCAAAATGATTGGAAGGATTATGAGAACCTTCAAATCCAAGGATTTCAACACAATGCTCATACTATTCAAATCTCTATTGTGTTGTCCAGTCTTGAGTACCACTTGATACTCACTTCAGAGCGGGGGAAGATTGTTGAAATGGAGGGACTATAGAGAACATATACGGGGGACGCTTATAGAGACGATAAAGCACTTAAATGATTGGCACAGTCTCAAAGCTCTCAAAATGTACTCATAGGAAAGGAGACGAGATCGAGTTATCACTATACATGGGAGATACTGGAACTCCAGGTCCTAAATTTCCACAGTAAAATACTAACATACTTTAACGAACGATATATGGTAGGAAATGCAGAATAGAACCTGAGAGGAATCGAGGTGTCATGGCCACAATCAGAGAACACTGTCTGAACCCCTACTCAATAGCCTCTCGGGGATATGTAAGAAAATATTGCTGGAACAAAGGTGGACTTCAAGAAAAATTAGACACGTTGCTACAAGAAGTGTCGAACCGACCAGGTTGTAGTGAATATGTAGGCCTAAAAGAGCCGCCTCAGGCCACACAGTCTGTTGGTCCCCCAGTTACCACAAGTCAATCCAGGCCCCAGGCCGGACTTGGGGAGTTGAAGAACCCCAGAGAGCCTACTCGACGTGTGATCTAGATCCAGGTACGAGTGAGGTCGTCGTGCAGGCGTGTGCATCAACTTGAGGGTCGTCGTGCAGGCGTGTGCATCAACTTGAGGGTCGTCGTGTAGGTGTGCGCGTCAACTTGAGGGTCGTCGTGTAGGTGTGTGCGTCAACTTGAGGGTCGTCGTGTAGGTGTGTGCGTCAACTTGAGGGTCGTCGTGTAGTTATGCGTCACCTTGAGGGTCGTACTTCTTGATTACCGATATTAATGGTCTGAAACAAGGACCACCGACACCGTAAAGAAGCACACCTAACTCACTACACGCAAAATATACAAGAATACAACTTTTTGCGCAAAAGGACACGAATATAATTTTTCGCTTGAGTTGAGCTCGTGCACCTGTTTTCCCGTCATGTTGGGTAATAAAACACAGCCACCCACCTCCACCATCCCCGTCTACACAACCATAGCAAAACCCAGCTCACTCTCTCGCGATTTGTCACCCCGTCAAAATACACTACTGTTTTACCCACTCAGAAACCTACGAAGCCAGGCAGCTTAACAAACTCACGGAGGTAGATGTATACTGAACGTCAGTATTAGTACGCTTCACTTGTTTACTAATACGACGTATTGTTAGGCTATTGGTAGGGTCCGTAAATTAATGCGACGTGGACGGGTTGTATAGACAGGTTATACCCGTGACTTCAGCTCGGCTGCTTCAGAAGGGGTGACTTTAGCGTAGCTGCTTCAGAAGGGTGTAGCGAGGTACCCACATAACAATCAGATGATTCTGTCTCGTCGATCAGCAACTTATGTGAAGGAGAAGATCGCATGGAGATATTTCCATGTCCTAAATTTCGATAATATAAATGTGTACCGAGGAAGGTTAAACGAGTGCAGATGATGAGCTCCATAGTCACAGTCTCACAAAGTGGGATGATATTAGAAGCAATGATACTGTCTTTGTCAGGAGTCAAGCATCTATGGAAAGATGTTTTGGGGACTGGAGAAGGCATCAGGACAGTCTGGATTAGGTACTAGAACACGGAAAGCATGATGAGTGGACCAAAGGAACCACAACTCATCAAAGCTTTATAATCAATTCTGGAGCAGTTTACTTCTGCTCGTGGTGTTTCAACTCAGCTGGAATACGTGTTAATTCCCATAATGAATAAACAAATAAAACGCAATGAATTCACCGGAGCATGATGTAGTTATGAGAATAATTTGAGGTAATTAAATGGGATCGAACGCACGCATCCCTGGAATGTTGAGGTTTGTCTGTTCTTGAGGGACTCCAGAGATGCAGCTTCGATTCTCGTGCTTTCTCAGCATCAGTATTTTCTCAGGGGTTAAACGTATCGCTGAAAACCACGGGATAAAGTGAACAGCGTCCTCTTCTGGTTAGGTTGGGTTGCGTAACGTTGGGTTTAAGGTGATTGGGTTGGAAAAGGTTGGGTTGGGAAAGACTTGGTTGGGTAAGGTTAGGTTTATTTGGGTAAGGTTAAGATACGTTGGGTAAGGTCAGGAAGGTTTTACGGTCCATTTGCTCACCGTCTTATGTACGATATCACGTGTACCTTAATATTCGACCGTTGAAAGTGAAAATGATAACGAGATTTTCCTGGCCACGATTACAAGTTCAATTTCTATTATTGTTGCAAACGGGAAGTATGTTATAAGAAAGAGTCAGTGCTTTTTGCCTACAATGCATTGCGATAGACATCTTGACATCATTGCGATAGACAACGACACGACAATCGATGATAGACAGCTTGACAGCATTTTTGCCGTAGGGGACGTCCTGATTAAATCCATATTTGACTTGTTCGTTCATCCTGAACAATGTTGTTATACGTTCTCTTACTGCTTATATGTGAACGGAGTTGAAGACGTTCTTGGCAAGTCGGAGAACACCCCTGTTACGCTTGACGGCTTACGAGAAATTAAGCTTGAGAGTGTATACGTTAGATGGAGTGATCATGTTCTCGGCTTGTCTTGTGTTGTAGCTGTTCAATACGAGGCTATAGGAACACTCTTGGTTACAAGGGCTTGGAGAAGAAGGGGGTGATATTACGGGTGTGTGAAGCAACAATACTGGACTCCCGTCCCCCCCCCCCTCCCTCTCTCTCTCTCTCTCTCTCTCTCTCTCTCTCTCTCTCTCTCTCTCAAC